GTAGATCCGACCGGATCTAGATCGTACGGTGGTCCACGGATTAACCCCGGCGCAGGCGAAGAACCCACAAAAGCGAATGACCACAAAACAGGAGCTCGTGATTCGTTCGACAAACAAGGAAGATTGTAACTTTTTCTTTTTCTTTTGATCTCGTTGTAACCGGATCTTATAAAAAGACCGGATCTTTCTGTAATCGATAAACTGTTACCAAAGAGTGCAATGACTTCAATGAAAGCAACAATTTTTCCCGCGAACAACAGTGATAATCTCTTCAAGACAAGACGCGGAGGTCCTCCCCGTGTGTCAACATCAAAACGCCGGGGTCGATCCCACGTTACAACATCAAAACGCGAGGGTCAAACCCACGTTACAACATCAAAAAGCTGGAGTCGATCCCGCGTTACAACATCAAAACGCGAGGGTCAAACCCACGTTACAACATCAAAACGCCAGGGTCAAACCCGCGTTACAACATCAAAATGCTGGAGTCGGACCCGTGTTACAACAAGAGAAACGTGAGCGACCCTCGCGTTCTGGATGTTCAGTCAACACCCAACCTCGCGTCTCAATCCTAAGACGCGAGGTTAGGGTCCTGAACGCCAGGTTGGGCGTTTGACTCATTCAAATATGAGTCGAACGGTTTCAAAACCGTTTTCCCCACGATCTGAGGAAATCACGCCCACTTAGGAGTGGATTTAGAGGGCAATTACACCCCCTTAATCCCCTATAAAAGCGAGTAAACTCAACTGAGTTCAGGGTTGGAATTTCTTGGCTCAGATCGACCACTGAAGGCTGGCATTTTTGAATTTGGGACTTGGCAGCAAAGGGAGAGATCGACATTCATCCTTTGGAGCATTCCTTGAAGCCTTCGGCCTTGGCTTGAGAACCGATTCTCGGTTTAAATCAACTTTTTTTTCAAGAGTTCTAAACTCGATCAGAGTTATCAACTCATCCAGAGTTCTAAAACTTGTCACGCAAGTTCTCCACAACGTCAAATCGTGAGGAGAAGACATCGTTCCAGTGAATCAAGACGTGCGGATCGTCAACGGAGAGCAAACTCGACGCGAGCAATCGAGGAGGCATTCCATCGCTACCGTGAAGAACCCAGAATTAAACAAAGAGGAAGAACCAATTTCGTTCTCCTTTCTTTTGTAATCGAATTGTAACCGAGATTAAAAGAATCAAAGTCAAATTTCTTTTCTTCTCTTTACTGCAAATTTTTTTCAACATACACCGGGATTTTTGGATATTTAAAGAAAACCAAAAATCTGTGTTTGTTCTATAATGAATATCCGGTTGTATTAGAGGGATACACCGATGCAAGCTGGATGACTAGTGTTGGAGACAACTAATCCACTTCTGGAATGGTTTTTACACTTGGTGGAGGAGCAGTTTCTTGGGCAAGCAAGAAACAAACATGTATCTCACACTCCACTATGGAATCTGAATTCATTGCTTTAGCAGCAACTGGTAAAGAGGCTGAATGGATTAGGAACTTATTGCTAGATATTAAGTTATGGCCGTATCCAATGCCTCCTATCTCTATCTATTGTGATAGTCAAGCCACTTTGTCAAGGGCTTATAATTGTACATATAATGGTAAGTCTAGACACATAAGTCTAAGACATGAATATGTGAGACACTTGATACAAGATAGTGTCATAACTATTGTCTATGTCAAGACAAATAAAAATTTGGCTGATCCATTTACAAAACCTCGAGCAAGAGAGATAGTAATGATGACATCAAGTGAAATGGGGCTGAAACCTTATATTTAAAATTACCAGGAATGGTAACCCAACCATTTACTAGAACTAAACTAGTTAAATGGTTTAAATGGGTAATAACAAGTTTCTGAAAGTGATTGATTGATATTGACGCATTAAGCCCTAAAAGATAATGTCAATATCGTCCATTACGGAATAAGAGGACGAGTTATGCTCTTAATGAAAGTCTAATATATTATTGTTGTGTGTTTAAAGTAATGGAAAACACATTATAGACGTTTCACCTATATGAACTTAGAAGTGGTGCCGCTTCTTAAAAGAGCTAAAGGCTTGTTCTTTAAAGAGTTCATGAACCAGGAATAAGCACAAGGCCATAACAGTGCTAAAATATTAATTCTCATTAAAACAAGAGATTAGTATATGTACAATATTCTCCGGTTCTATCACAAAGAGTAATTAGTTTAATGTTAAGGCAACTAACGACTTTGATAGAACTTTCAGCTATTTGTACTAAGTAAATGTTTAAATCAAAAGATACCTCTACATATGTATACTTATCTCATTTTGTACATATTACGGATTATTTTTAAATATAATACTATTAAAATGTTTTTTCAAACAAAGTGGGGGATTGTTAGTATTTGTTTGTAAAAAACAAGATAGTCCCACATTTGAATTTTGAACATTCTTTTAGAGGTTTAAAAGCATTAAATGCTTATTGGGCTTTGAATAATGGATCAAAGTGTAAGCTTCTAAATCCGCGTGCGGGTAGCGCGAATAATGCGCGATTTTGACGCGATTATTAGACGCACTTAGTACTTAGCACGCTTGTCGCTGCCGCTTAAATGTTCTATTTTGAATATATATTTTTTAATGTTATTTTGAATTTTAAAAAATTATGAAAAGACAAGTGACTGTTGAAAAGTGGCCGTTTGCTCCAAGGGGTGTTTAATTTGAAAAGTTGTGACTGTTGGAAGCACATTTTCAAATCTATAAATAGTTTATGTTTTCAGATATCTATTTACAATTCTTTTCTGAATCTTTTATATCAAAAACTTCTGTAATATTACAAACTTGTTTCACAACGAATTATGGAAAATTCCAGATTTGCTTACTGAAATTTTCATTTTTCTGTTGTATCATGGGAAAAAAATTTGCATTAACCCGAAACAACTTTAAATATCAAGTGGGGATAAATATTTCTTTAAGGAAAGTGTTTCACGCCTTAGAATTTCTGTCTCCTTCAATTTTAAAAGTTAACACAAGGCCGGTCGACCGCGAACGTGCACAAGCTAGAGTAGGAGTCTGGATTTGGCGCGGTCGACCGCCGTGGTCAACCGCGAGACTCTGTAGTCGAATTGAGCTTTAGGCGGTCGACCGCCAATCAGGTCAGGGTCTGTTTTGTGTTTCCTGTTCTTATTGGGTTTGGTGTTTGCTATAAATACCAACATACGAATTAGGGTTTCTTTGGCTTGGATTGGAGATTGGTTGGGGATATTTGGAGCACAGAAAAAGGAGAGTTTTTCTGAGCAATTGTTTGAGGGTTTATTTGGAGAGATTAAGAGATTTGTTGGTGAGATTAGTTGATTGGTTTGAGCGTTTTGTAATCTCAGTTTGTATTCTTCTTCTCTATTAGTGAAAACCCAATCCCCTTCTTGCCCCGTGGACGTAGGCAATTTGCCGAACCACGAAAAACTATTGTGTTTGGATTTGTGCCGTTGTTTTGATTTGTTTGGCATTTTATCTCGACGTTTGTTTGATTTGGTTCTCGAAGCACGCCCGTTTGGTTGTCATGCTTCCGCGTCACGCACAACATGTCACAGTCTATTAGAGATATGTATTTTGTACATATTCTGCATATCTTTTATTTTAAGCAACACATTGTGCTCTAGGCATGAGATAAATCACACATTGTATTTAGGTAAGATTTTCCTCGTAATCTTGCCTCACGCCCCCAGCTAACTCAGGTATGGTCCATCCTATTGCACATTATGTCACTTGATGATAAGATTTTTGCTGCTCATGCATGTTTCTTTAGCGGCCATCATCTCGGAGATGAGCCGAACTACTTCTATCAGGCGGTCAAGGAGGCCAATTGGCAGGAGGCCGCGATAAAAGGAAAAGTCAAGCCTTGGAGAGTAACACCACTCGGACGCTTGATCATCTTCCACCGGGCAAGAAAGCTATTGATTCTAAGTGGATGTACAAGATTAAGTACAAACGTGACGGGGGTGTTGAGCGCTATAAGGCACACCTAGCGGCCGAAGGTTTTACTCAGGTGGAGGGTTTGGATTACCATGAAACTTTTGCACATACTGCTAGCGTTGTCATTATTCGGTGTTTGCTTGCAATTGCTTTTGCGCGGAACTGCGAGTTGCACCAGCTCGATGTCAATAATGCACTTTTGCATGAGGATCTTAAGGAGGAAGTCTACATGAACTTCCTTAAGGCTTTGCTAGAAAGAATGACACCGGTGTTAGTCGGCTTCGAAAGTCGTTAGGCTCGAACAGACATCAAAGACTGATTCATTCGGATCGACATGAGGGTCCAACTACATTGCATTGCCATACAGAGATGCAGAGAATACAAGCTGAAGATGAACCCGATGAAGTGCGCCTTCGGACTTGACTGTCTACGGCTCCATTGCGTGTGCTCGGGGTAGAAGTTTTGTATAAATGTATCGCCGTGTTATTAAGTATTTTGCTTTAAGTTCTTTTCTCTATAAGAGGTGGAATAGAATAACCCGGTTGAAGCGTAATGATCATACGTCTGTAATGCATTGTATGTCCCATAATAGGTCCCATTCTTCTACCCTTTCGGGGGAGTCGATGACTATTCATAGCTATTACCTTGACACCAAAGAAGAGTTCGACCCAATGCTTTATTTCTGTCCTAGTTGATCCTGATTCGACTTGAATGGGATATTTACGGAATCCCCATGAATAGGAATGAGTGAGAGCGCTATGAAGAGCAAATGCTTTCTCAACACTTTTCACATAGGATGCCCCAGGAAAAAACAACGGCCAAAACTGATAGGCTTGGGCTGGGCTTGCGGGTGCGGAAAAACCAAAATCTCTCTCTAAAGCTCTTTCGAAAAAGTGTTTTCAGTCTTCTTTTTTCATCTTTCTTGAGTCACTTTTTAGATAAGATAAGAAATAACTGTGCTCCAGACGGGGGAAATGAAAGCAGCAGAATTTGTTATCTCTCCTCCCTCCCACATGTTCAATCTTTTTTTAGCGGTTTCCCCAGAGATCTTTATCATTAACGCAACCTTCTCGAGAAGCATGGCCGCTCTAGTCCATTCTTTATCTCCTTTGTTGAGAAAAGGGATAGAGAACTTTACTAGACGGTAGTTAATGTCGGAGGAGGAAGCTTCTTTTTTTTCGGTATGCCGCTCCGCGAGCAAGGAGCGCCGCGAGCAGAGCGAGAGAACGAAGTGGGCTTTGGTGATGTCGGAATTTGCACCTATTTTTATCTATTTAGTGATGAGTCCGCTAGTTTCTTTGATCCTACTTGGTGTTCCTTTTCCATTTGCTTCCAATAGTTCGACCTATCCAGAAAAATTGTCGGCCCACGAATGTGGTTCCGATCCCTCCGGTGATGCCAGAAGTCGTTTCGATATACGATTTTATCCGGTTTCTATTTTATTTATTATCCCTGATCCGGAAGTCACCTTTTCTTCTCCTTGGGCAGTACCTCCCAACAAGATTGATCCGTTTGGATCTTGGTCCATGATGGCCTTTTTATTGATTTTGACGATTGGATCTCTCTATGAATGGAAAAGGGGTGCTTCGGATCGGGAGTAACCACTAGTGATAGGGCAAAGGGGGGAAGGACATAGGAAAGATGGATGCCTACATTCAATCAATTGATTCGTCATGGTAGAGAAGAAAAACGGCGCACGGACCGTACTCGAGCTTCGGATCAATGTCCCCAGAAGAAAGGAGTATGCCAGCGTGTTCTGACGAGAACACCGAAAAAACCAAATTCAGCTCTACGTAAGATAGCCAAAGTACAGTTGAGCAGCAATAAACATGAGATATTTGCTCACATTCCGGGCGAAGGTCATAATTCGCAGGAACATCCTATGGTCTTAGTCAGAGGAGGTAGAGTGAAAGATTCGCCAGGTGTGAAATCCCATTGTATTCGAGGAGCCAAGAATTTCAATTTGGATGGAATTCCGGATCGAAGAAAAGGCAGATCTAAATATGGTGCGAAAAAACCAAAATCCAAATGAATGGAAGATGCCTCTGGAACGTCGTTTTTCTCGGTCAGGAGAGGTACGAAGTCACTCGACTGAAAGAAGCTTCATAGTAAGAGGAACGTACTTAACAAGTCATAAAACGAAAAATCCCTTTCTTCGCAAGCATACCGATAAAAAGAAAAAGTTGCGTGCGTCGACGAATAAGCTCTTTCTATTTCTACTGTGCCCTAAAGACTTCTATTCTTGATTTGAAAATCCGAAGCCTTTCTAATATGTCAGTCTCGAAATCCGTACTTTTCTTTTTTTTGTCGAGATTGGTGTTAAGTCTGCCGAAAAAAAGGTCGAACGAATTTCGTATAGAAAGAAAGATGTGTCGGGTTTGGATCGAAATAGAATCCCTGAAAACTTGGGCTGGAATATTAGACCAGTTCTTCTTCTCAACCAATTACAGAAAACAGACGGAAGAGCGAACGTGCGGATCGGAATATCGATCTAACAGAGTGCTTTCTGCCAAAGCAAAGAGAGCTATAGGCGGTGAAACCCCTGGCGATAAAGAGAGTCGAAAACTTCTCAAATGAAAAGAGGTAGGAGGAATCCATGGTAATCTTTAGCGGTACCATCTTGATTAGATAGCGAGGTAGTGAGAGAGGACTCACTCAACAGAGGTCTCAGTTCCTTAAGGTAAGGCTGAATCAAAAGGGTAACCTCTTAGCGCAAGGGTTGGTATAAAGGCTGGTGAATGTGCTTCTTTCATCGAATTATGAAACCAACTTTCACCGGTCGCGAGATAAAAGACCGTCGAACTACCTCCTTACGAAGTGGTCCTTCATCTCTCTATAACTAGCCGTATAATTCAGTTCAGGTGCACTCAACCTTCCCGCTATCAGAAAGGAGCAAAGAAGACGACTGGTAACCAAACACTGCTTAGGCGTATAGAGCGTTAACCACCTAATCACGAAGCGCTCTTTATCCGATTCCGATGCCGCTGATGACAGCATCCCCTGGTGGAAGACTTTGTGAAGAATCTTTTTTCTCTTTTAGCGTCTTGATACTGACTTAGATTTGACTGAACCAAGTGGACACTTTTAGCTTACAGTCACAGCTTCCCTCTCTACTGCGGGCCCTGACATCGCTTACAGCTCACTGCCTGGGCCTGGCCGGGACTATATTGTTTGCTTGGGAAACCAAGAGAACGCTTCGCGTTTTCTTATCTTCTTCCCGTAGGAGTAGCACAAAAAGAGGGCTCACGACCGAAAATAGAACCTGTAGCTTCATGCCCTGACCTGAACTGAACTACTACTGGCTTAGCTGCCTAGCTACTAATAACTTGGCTGGCACCCGTCCTGCCAATATAGTAGAAAAAGTATAAGTAGGATTCCACTCAGGGCACACTTGTTAGCGACAGTTCCCATCTGTCTTGTAAAGAACTAGAACTCGAACTGCCCGCAGTTACGAGACTAGCTCCCCTGGCCGTAGCAACTACAGTGACTCTTGCTCCTGAGCTTCCAAATCCTTACTTCACTTCAGGGGATTAAGGTAGTTTACTTGCTGGCTGATAAGTCAGGTAGCGAAGCCTAAGATTAGATGACTGATTAGATTACTAGTTTGTTTAACTGAGGCTACAATTTAATATATATCGAATTTAAATATCAGAATAGCTGATATAGTCATGATTCAAGGGGTCAGGTCCACTTACTTTTTTTTATTTTTCATTTTATGGCAGATTTGGTAGGAACATTGGTAGGAACAATGGGGAAGTAGGAATAGTTTGGTTTGGCAGATTAATAAATAGGGATTGTTACCAAATACGACCAAAGACCCTCGGGCCTGATGATGGCACGACCAAGATCTTAAGGTACACATCTTTTTCGAATTTTTCTGTTTTTATGTTATTTTGTACTGTACAATTCCTTTGTTTGTGAGATAATTTTCCCCGAGCCGAGGGGGTAATGAGAAGAATTGTAGAATGGAGATCAATAGCAACTGAGTGCGGATTCCTTAAAGCAATCAGTCTAAGAAGGACGTATCGACGGAAAAGAAATTGCACGTGTCGAATGGATCAGAGAGGGTAGGGTTAACAAAGAACAAGGAATTAGAAGAAACGTCCATCATCTTCAACAACCACACGAAAAAACACATTCAAAAAAGTTATAGAAGGATAGAGCGCTTGCCACAAACAAGTATGGGTCTGATTTTGATTCCAGTGGGGACAGCTATGATCATGGTAGCTGCGGTGAAGTAAGCACGCGTATCAACGTCTAAGCCCACAGTAAACATATGATGAGCCCAAACAAGAAATCCAAGAACACCTATACTGATCATGGCATAAACCATGCCTAGATACCCGAAGACTCCTCTTTATGATAAATGATCCGCTTGCCCCGAAATGACCCGGCCCAGAAAGTCGGCCTTAGTGATCCGACGGTGTGCTACATGAAGAACATAAGCCAGATGACGGAACGGGGAGACCTAGGATGTAGAAACGTGATTCCGGTTCGTCTCCATTTTAGTAACACTCTTCCTCAAGCAACATGAAGTGGTCAATCGAGCCGCATTGCTCTATAGCGAGCTTTTCCTTCAGATGATGAAGTGGTCAATCGAGCCTTGGTCCAATATTCAAAGCAAACCAACAATGACGAAGGGCAGACCGGCAAGGAAGTTAATTTTGAACTCTACCTCTAGTCTTGGCCTAAACTCTATCACCTCGCGCTCAAAGCAAAACCCGGGGCTTAATTAGCATCTTTCTCAACAAGCACTCCCCCGTACCTTCCCGGTCACTTTAATTCACAACAAACATCGGGATGAGTGTTGGGAATGTCGTATCCGGCCTAAGAGAAAAAAAAACTATAGGAAAGCGAGCCTGAACTTAGTAATTTTAGGGAGAAAAGAAAGGAAGACGGGGCGAAAGAGCACTTAACACTTTCTCCTTCTTAAAGTGACGCATTTGTGGTCTAATCAACAACTTCCGAGATCGAATGAAAGACCAGTATTTTTTGGTTTCATCCATGAGCAAGTCTTGGCCACCGACTCATGCGGGAGAAATGGGCAGTCCCCATTCACTGTATTGCAGTGCAGAGAATGGGGACATCATTAGCGTCCTTGAGCCTCAGAGCGGAAAGTCTGATCAACACTGTGTTGGCGATCTGTTTTACCAGCTCTGTTTTGTTAGTTTCTTTTTTAAAGAAGATGCGACAATTGCGCTCTTGCCATAGATACCAAACAGCACAGGTAGTGACGTTCCTTAACAGGACGGCGCGAAAGTTCTTACCAGCCGCAAGCGCGGAAGGAGGAGAGAAACGTCGGGAATTGACAGATCCAGGCCCTCTTCTTGACTTTTTTCACGTGGATGAGGAGGTCCCACTCTTCAAGAGGTTTATTTTGAATCCGTTTGGACCCGGAATTCACGAAGAATTGTAGAATGGATTGCTAATTATGCCTAGATCTCGGACAAATGGAAATTTTATTGATGGTTAAAGCGCCCAACTCATAATTGGAACATAAAGGAGAGAGGGGCGACAGCCGCGAGGCACTTTTGCTTTGATTTTCTTGTTTGAAAGGCGTCGGTTAGAATTTACGACTACCCGTGTACCTCATGTCGCACTGTGCAGTGCCGATGGCGTGGCATGTACAGAATGAAAACTTCATTCTCGATTCTACGAGAATTCTTATGAAAGCGTTTCATTTGCTTCTCTTCCATGGAAGTTTCATTTTCCCAGAATGTATCCTAATTTTTGGCCTAATTCTTCTTCTGATGATCGATTCAACCTCTGATCAAAAAGATAGACCTTGGTTCTATTTCATCTCTTCAACAAGTTTAGTAATGAGCATAACGGCCCTATTGTTCCAATGAATTAGTACCAAAAATGCACTGCATCACTCTTGGCCATTGACTACCATCAGTCAAAGACCAATTGTTCTTTATTTACTTTGTGTCGAGGCAACTCTTTCATTGTTGTTCCCAATTATGTCGACGATGTCATTGTTCCGAATCAAGGACCTTGGTCACTCGAAATATTTTCTAGGGATTGAAATACCTCGTTGCATGTCCTTCTAGGATTGTGCTTCGCCAGAGGAAGTATGCGCTTGATATATTCTCTAAAATCGGCCTACGTGGCTCGCGACCAATGTCCTTTTCCGTGGAGCAACAACATCACTTGATGCATGGCTCAAGACCAAGCATTACCGACCCAGCTCACTATCGACTTCTCATCGGACGAGTTTTGTATCTCACGATTAGTAGCTCTGATATATGTTACTCCGTTTCACATTCCTAGCCAGTCCATGCAGGATCCTAATTAAGGAAAGTCATCTCAATGTGGCACTACGTTTTTGTGCTATATCAAGTCCTTCAAAGGACATGATATTTTGCTCTCTTCAGACAGTGAACTTACACGTAACGCTTATATTGATGCAAATTGGGGTTGCACCATGAACCAACATTCAACCGCGAGCTATTTCATTTTCTTGGGTAAATAGCCTATATCTTGGCATTTCAAGAAATAATCTTTTGTTTTGCGTTTCGATCTCTACATAATCAGAATATCGGGCTATGACAACAACTACTTGTGAAGTGATTTGGCTACGTCAATTCTTTTTGATTTATGGGTCCTTACTTCTCATC